GGAAAGTCAGATATACAGAGAGGAGAGACAGAGAGGAAAAGCTTCAGTCCAATGATTCACTCCCCAAGTGAGCGCAACAGCAGATGCTATGCCGATCCGAAGCCAGGATCCAGGAACTTCCTCTGGGTCTCCCACGCGGGTGCAGGGTCCCAAGGCTTTGGGCCATCCTCAACTGCTTTCCCAGGCCACAAGCAGGGAGCTGGATGGGAAGTGGAGCTGCTGGGATTGGAACCGGTGCCCATATGGGATCCTGGTGCGTTCAAGGCGAGGACTTTAGCTGCTAGGCCAAGGCGCCAGGCCCATATCTGACTTTCTAATGAAAATAATCTTAAAAAAAGGTTTGTAGGGCAAGGTTGGGAAACCTTGTGCTGTTATTTCTACCCTTTTTCCTGGGATGGGGTTGGCACCAGGTAGACTCAATAAAAGTTTGCTGATGTGTTTATAAAAACTGGTATTACCCTTTATATTAAATTTTACTTTGAAATTTGAAAATATATAACAAAGCCATTTGATATTTAGTGATGTTTATTAGCAACATAAAAGGCACGTGTTTCACTTGCTTGGGGAAAACATGTTCCAGAGATAGAAAAACAAAAATGAAGCCACACTTAACAAATGTAGAAGAGTCCCGGTTAATTGATTCTACTACTTGATTGGGTATTTTTTTTTTTTTTGGAACAAAATTTTTTTTTATATTATTATTGGGAAGTCAGATTTACAGAGAGAAGGAGAGACAGAGACCTTCCAACTGCCTGTTCACTCCCTAAGTAGCCACAATGTCAGAGTTAAGCAGATTTTAAGCCAGGAGCCAGGATCCTCTCCTGGGTCTCCTACATGGATGCAGGGTCCCAAGGCTTTGAGCCAGCCTCGACTGCTTTCCAGGCCACAAGCAGGGAGCTAAAAGGGAAGTGGAGCAGATGGGACACGGAATGGATGCCCACGTGGGATCCCAGCGCATGCAAGATGAGGACTTCAGTCACTAGACTACTGCTCAAGACCCAAACAATTGTTTTTTTAGTGCAAAGGCAGTTAAGAGGAGAGGCAGGGAGATCTCAACTGCTCCTTCTCTCTGTGAGTGGCCACAATGGCCAGAGCTTGGCCAGCTGGAAGCCAGGAGCTTCTTCCACGGTCTCCCAGGGTTACAAGTGCAGGTACCCAATTGCTGAGCCATTCCTCACTGCTTTCCCAGGTCATAGGCAGGGAGCTGGACGGGAATGCGGGATGTGAACCCTGGAACACAATGTAATTATAGACAGGTTTGTATTTTCCACAGCATGTAAATGGTGGCGTAGATCAACCCAAGTTGTTAATCTCAATTTCGTGGGACTTGGGTTTTCCTGCATGCTTATAGTTTCCTGCATGCAATATAGTTTCATTGTTTCAATCGAGAGGCAGGCAAAGAGCTGTTGGATAACTCTCCAGGCCCAGGAGTTCAATCTTGGTCTCCATTCAGGTGGCAGAAAACCCCCAACGATTATCATCTTGTGTCTTGCATGGCTGACAGGAGAATCTCGGTAATCTCATGTGTGACATGGGTGTCTTAACATCTATGCTAATCACTTTTCCCGGAGTTCCGGTTTAGATGCAGTATTAAGCACGGCCAGACACAGTCCTGCGGAAATAACCATGAGCAAAAGTTACTGTGTCTCTGCCTTTAAAAACATCGTAGTTCTGGCGGCCAGGGCACTACAGATAAACCGGGTCTGAAAGGGAGTGAATGTAGTTAGTGGTGCAGTTGTGCTTTTGGGCAGGCTTCTCCTGCCGACCTCTGGCTAGGAGCCTGAAACATGCACTGAACACGGATGAGTTAAACCTGGGGGCTGTGTTCTAGCCAGAGAGCAGCAAGAGCAATGGCCTTCAGGCAGATGAGGGAGGCAGGAGCGTAGGTAATAAATACACACATATGGATCCTCCCCCGACTCGCAGCAACGGAGCTGAGGAAGCCAGGGTTTGCAAATCTCTTGGCGGGGAGCATCACGCGCAACCCCAACTGCGAAGCTCCGAGGCTGCCTCTGCTGCCCTGCTAGGCTCCAGTCAGACTCCCGCGGGAGAGGGGCTCGGTCCCGGCCTCGGCAGCCCTTCCCTAGCCCGGGGCGGGGGCGGGCGGCAAGGCCGGGCCCCAGGGCGCTGCACGGGCCCCGGTTACCAGCAGGCGGTGTCGTGAGCGCGCCCGCCAGTCCCGACGAGCAGCAGAGAGGAGGGGACCGGAAGGAGCCGCTGGTGCTGCGGGAAGTGGCAGGAGCGGGAGGCGGGGACCCACCTGGAAGCGCCGCGGCGCCGCTGCCGAGCTTCCTGCGGCGGCGGCCACTCGAGCCTGTGCCGCGGCGGGGGCGGAGGGCGGCGTCGGCGCCTCCCGGAGCGGCCCGCGGCGTTCGGCCCCGCGCGGAAGGTGAGCAGGCGCTCGGGGCACGTGGCGGCGGCGGCCCGGCTCGGGGGAGGAGGGCGGGCCCGGCGGGGACCGGGGACGCGGGGCTCCGGGACCCGCGCTTGGAGCGGCGCCGGGCGGGGGTGGGCTGCGGGCGGCGACGGCGAGGCCCCCACGTGGGGCGGGGTGCGCGCGCACGTGGGCCGGGAGGGGGCGGCGCGCGCGCTCACGCGAGAGGCCCACGTGACGGGCACGCCGGGTCGGGGGCCACGTGACGGGCGGGAGGGGTGCCGGCGCGGAGGGGGGCGCGGAGGGATGCGCCGCGTCCGTGTGGGGAGGCAGTGCCGTGCTGCGTGTCTGCTTTACTGGTGGGACGGAGGAGGCGGCCTGGAGGGCCAGAGAGACTTCCCAAGTGTTCCTGTGTTTACCACACTCTGCAATCTGTTCAGTGAAACACCAAAGCTGCTCCAACACTGATGTTTCGGGGCCGCCATGTTGGTTTCGGAGGGAGCTCGCGAGATGCTAGGGGTTTTTGTATCGCGAGATCTCTCGATTCTCGCGGGAGCTTGTTGGCAGAGCAGTTGTCCTGGATGGCGGAGCCTTGGGTTCCGGGGGCCTGGGACGCGCAACCCTTTCTACAAGGCAAGTTGTTAGGGAGGGGCCGAGCGCGAGTGCCCCTTGGTGCCGGGAGAGGTGCTGTGTCAGCCGCCCCCGAGCTGGAAGAAGAAACGGCGGCCCGCTTGAGGCGACCAGCCCTCCCCACCCCCTGCGGGCGCCCGGCCACCTGCACAAGTGTCCCCTGACCGAGCCTTTGGCGCCGGGCAGAGCCGGTGCACCCGGGCCGGAGCCCAGCCGGGGCGACGCGGGGCCTGGTGGCTCTCCCTGCGGAGTCCAGTGCCCCCAGGTCCCCCAGTGCCCGCGCTGTGCCCTGCGGAGCCCCGATCCCCCAGTGCCCTGCCGGCGGAGCCCGGATCCCCCAGTTCCCCCAGTGCCCTGCCGGCGGAGCCCGGATCCCCCAGTTCCCCCAGTGCCCGCGCTGTGCCCTGCGGAGCCCGAAACCCCCAGTTGCCCTAGTGCCCGCGCTGTGCCCTGCGGAGCCCGGATCCCCCAGTTCCCCCAGTGCCCGCGCTGTGCCCTGCGGAGCCCGGATCCCCCAGTTTCCCCAGTGCCCGCGCTGTGCCCTGCGGAGCCCGAAACCCCCAGTGCCCGCGCTGTGCCCTGCGGTGCCCGATCCCCCAGTTCCCCCAGTGCCCGCGCTGTGCCCTGCGGAGCCCGGTTCCCCCAGTGCCCGCGCTGTGCCCTGCGGAGCCCGGTTCCCCCAGTGCCCGCGCTGTGCCCTGCCGGCGGGGCTGCGTCCCAGCTCGGAGTACTAACTCGGCACTCTGAGTCTAGAGTAACTTCTGGCGGGTTCTGGAGGGCCCTCTTCTGTGTCTCGGGTCGGAATAAAATCGTGGTGGTAATCAACTTGTACATGCCTGTTAACTCACGGATCGGTAGGATTTTAGTTACTGTGTTACAGGGGTTGTCATCTTCGATGGCTGTTTTAGGCTACATACTAGCGTAAAGTAGCAATGGGGCTGTTTTAATTCAAAACGAACCTATCATAAGCTCGAGTATTAGAATTTGGATAGTAAAAGATGAGATTTTTCTTAGTTCTTGAGTCGTGTTAGATTTTTGTTTAGTAATTTACGAAATGACTCAAGCAGCTAGGCAGTTCACTCCTACTTCGTTGTTTATAGAGGCATTAGAGTCAAACCTATTGACCGGCCACCACCACGTTCGCTTTAGGCTTAACTGACCCTATGAAGCCAGTCTGCAGTTGTTGTGTATTTCGCATGCTTTATTTTTTCTAAGTGAAAGGTAGTAAGTGAAAGGGATGTTGCACACTACTACAGCATTGCCAAACAGTGAAATGTAGCTGTTCACTTGCATTTTTTTCGTGGTTATTGCTCGTCCTTAGGGCTTTTGTATGCAGACTAGAAATTTCGTTTGTACAGGTTGTTTGAGGGGTTTAGCCCTGTGAAAATATGTTGAGCTATTCCTGTGCTCAGCATATCATTGTGTATCCGATGCAGTTACCTGTGCTACTGGCTCCAAACACAAAGTACATGTAAAAGACTTAAAAATTAATTGTATCATTTGCGTCTTATATTTTTGTTTAGTATTTATTACATATTGAGTGTTCTTATATGTGACTGTATTATGGTACCCATACCCAACTATGTCTATAGCAGTTCTCCAGAAGTTTGACAACTTTTTGACCATGCCATTTAGTACACTTCTGGAGTGGTTGATAATCAGTAGTAGCAATTAACATCAAAGATTGTGTTTAAATAAAAAGTTGCTCAGCACCTCCTACCATTTTGTGATTGATGTATTTTCTCTTCAAACCTACCAGTATATCCGTGATATTATTAATAAGCTTAGTGACAAAAAAGTGTCCAGTCTTTAGACTTTCTTCTTTCTTTTTAATTGTGGTAGTGCAAATAGGGATGTTGTAGAGATGAGTATGTATGTTTGATGTAGGAAAGAGGAAAGGCATCAGTTGCATATTGATGCTGAAGTTGGGAAGGAAAGGGGAGTACAGAAGAGTGGTGCCAAGAGCTGTGCTTCCAGGGCGACCCCGAGTCAGAGTACCAGTTAGATTTTTTCCCTCTAAGTGATTTTTTTTTTCCAGATAGTACTGCAGTCCCTCAGAATTACTAGTATTACTTATCATTAAGTCAGCAACTTGCTTAAGCGTGTGAGTTCTTCACTTGGGGGTAAGCCACTGTCTTAGCTTGTTACGGCACAGTGTTACTAGTGTTTGGAGTAGGAAAATTGTGAAAATGGAAATCGTATGGTCACAATACCACAGAGGCCTTTATAGAGATAAACCCTGTTAAGTTTGTTGTGGCAGTTGTGCATCTGAACCAAATAAGTGGAACTTTTGAAACTTATATTTTATAAATTGTCCATGGAACTTAACATTTTATAAATTGTTTTTGGTAATGGATCCTGGAAATTACCATTGTTCTACAGGCATTTAAGCATCACCATCAAAAGAAATACAGTGGGGGAAATCCAAGGAAGGGTAGAAATTTATCTTAATTTGTTTGAGTTTGCTTGAGTATAATTTAAGTAGCAGAGTGATGAACTAGTGAGCTGCTTCATCAGAGGAGTGATACTGTCCAGGTCAAGCACCCATTATCCAAAATGCTCGGGCTGTTTATATATGTCATGAAGTATCTCAGGACTGAACTCCCAAGGGTCTCAACTGAGAATTACTGATGCTTTGTATGCACCATATTAACATGTGCTTTTAGTGTTTTGACTGAAGTCAGATGTAATTTTTTCTTGGTGTCACTCTCAGTGCACTCAAATTGTGGACTGTGGATTTGTTGAAGTACCCTTCTATCTCAGGGCAGTGTAGTAATAGTTAATGTGCTATGTTGAAGACTTGAATTATAAACTTTAATCCTGTGTATTGTTTAAAGAAATAAGATAATTAGTATCTTGAAAGGACTGTATGAAAGTATTTTCAAAGGTCTGTTATTGCATTGTCAGTTTTCTGGAAAGATTACTTATAAAACCATCATCTGGTGATGCAAAATAAAATTGATGTTGTATATAAAATCTATTTTATTGTTTTTATTTATTTTTTTACTAATTTAATATTTGAAGGGATTACCTCTTAAAAGCTTTACCACATTTGGTATCAGTTTTAAGCAACTGATTACTTAACAAGTAGCACATTTGTTTGTGAAGGAATTGGTTGAGTAGGTACTTAGAATTAATAAATGACCTGTGTGTAAGATTTGGTTTTGTAATTTTGAGCCCTAATGACAGATGCCAAGTAGGTATCTCCAGGTGAGAAGTATTTAATTGCATATTGAGGCTTCTTTTAATATGTAAATTTCAGCCTTAAGTGTCCTTTAGAATGGAGTGATGGTAGATTGTATTTCACTTGAGAATAAATGTCTGTGTATATGTATTTAAATTATTTTTCAAGATTGACTTAAGTTTAAATTTTGGGCATTAATAACACCACTTAGCATTCTGATATATCGTATTATTTTAACATATCGTGGATGTACTAAAGATAAAACATCTTTAATGTATTGCTTTTTAACTTAAATATTGCGTCTTAGTAAGTTTTAATAGCCCCTGTTGTAAATGATTGTATAATGTTTTGTGCCGTAGGTGTGTCATATTATTTTTATGTTCTGGTTTGTTTCATATGTAAATCTCAGTGAGAGGAACGTTTGTATCTATTCTGTTGTCTGTATGCAGTATTATTTACTTGTATATTGTGAGGAATCATTTTTAAGTACATTTGAAAGACTTAAATGTTTATCAAAAGGATATATTATATTTCCATTGGAGTGGTTGCCGTTTTATATCTCAAACATTGAATATTATAAAAACCATCAGTAGGCTGCAAAATATATTGTTCCAATTTAATTTTTACAAAGATAAATTTGCTGTGTGCTAGTAGATGCATTTCTCTTTGGAGCTGCAGGAAAACCTTAATATTAGTTGGATATCTTGGTGTGGTTTTGTTCTTCAGATCTTGTGAAATTCCTCTTCTCAAGAAATGTAATACATAATAAGGTTAGTTAATACAGTTTAGTTTTAAAAGCTTAATTTATTCATTTTTTCAAACCAGATTTGGCATTGGAATGAAATGTGAATCTCAGGATTTTCCTCCAAACTGGTAATTGTGTCTTCTCTGCTCAGTAAACTTTATTTTCTCATTGTTATGCTTTGCTTTGTGTTTTTTTTTCAAATGATTATATTTTGTACTGTTTATTTTTAGTCCCAACATTAAAAAAATGTTAGTATCGTTTTTTAGGTGATTCTTAATATATATTTAATATCTTTTGCTTGGTTTTCTTTTTGTTGTGGTGCTTGTTTTCTTATCAAGAGTATGGTTGGTAATATATTGATGAAAATTTAAAAAGATAATACTTTTTAAAAAAGATTTGTTTCTTCTTATTGGAAAGGCAGATTTACAGAGGAGAGAGAGAGAGAGAGACATATCTTAACATCCACTGGTTCACTCATCAAATGGCCACAGTGGGCCAGAGCTGAGCCAATCTGAAGCCAGGGGCCAGGAGCTTATTCTGGGTCTTCCATGCAGGTGCAGGGACCAAAGGCTTTTGGCCATCTGCTGCTTTCCCAGGCCACATGCAGAGAGATGGATGGGGCATGAACTGCGCCCATAGGGGATCCAGGTGTTTCCAGGTGGAGGATTATTCAGTAGAGCCATTGTACCAGGCCTCCTCCATAAAGTAATTATTTCCAGGATGTTTTCAAATTCTCCACCTGGCAGCCAAAAATTTTAGATTTTATTTTTTTCATATACCTCCTACACCAGAATTTAGTAGTGTTGAATTAAGCAGTTTCTCCTTTGGACAGGATGAAATGTGAAACAGTACAGTGCAGTAGTACAGGCTGTAAAGAGAAAAGTACGTTAGTAGATTTTGTGAAATTAGATCAATTAGTTTACTAAGGTAACTAGGGTATGTGCTTACAGTGTTTATTAAACAGTAATGTGCATATTGGCATCGTAGATCTCTAATATAGTTAATGAGTGTCAGCAGTTATAGGATCCAGGTTACAGAGCCACAGAAATGACAGTCTGAAGGTGTTTACTGAAATGGGGTGATGAGTGGGAACTTTAGGTTAGGCTTTACTTTAATTTGAAAGGCAGAGATGCGGATAAAGAGAAGAACTCCATCTGCTGGCTCGCTCACCAGGTGCCTGCAACAGCCGGAGACAGGCCAAAGGTAGGATTAGTCCAGATTTTCCAGACAGTGGCAGGAGCCCAGTTACCTGAGTCCTCGCCATTGCCCGCATTAGCGGGGAGCTGGAGTGCAGAAAGGGAGCTGGGTGTTACAGCACCCACCCTTAGAGCATTCTTTTATTATGTGAAGTGCTTACTATCATTTTTTAAAATTCTTTTTTAATTTAAAGTTTCTTTTTCTTTTTGAGAGTCATCCCTTACATTTTTGGGGAATTGGTTTCAGGACAACCTTCTCCTACCAAAATCCAAGGATGGACAAATCAAAACGGTTTTTGCATATAAACTATACATATCTTCTCAAATATTAAATCATCTCTAGAATACTTATGTTACCTAATTTGATGTAAATACTATGTGAATAGTTATTGTTCAAGGAATAATGCTGAAGCATGCATGTTCCGTAGAGGGTCCTTCGTTTTGTTTTGTTTTTGCATTCTGGGATTGGTTGAATCTACATGGGTGGAACCCATGGTAATTGAGAGCTGACTGTATTTAAAATCTCGAAGCAATTGAAACCAGAGTATGAGTATATATTTTAAAACTGATGGATTCAAGGCTATTTTATTAGATAATGGCTGATTTTAGCATTGTGTAATGCATAAATTGTTATGCTAAGCTAAAGTTAGTAAGAAAAGCTAGAATTATGTGAATTTGTAAGAAACAAAAATAAATATTTGGGAAATGTGTGCCTTGTGCTTGGACATCGCCCCAGGGGAATTGTAGGTGGATTATGTGATGTGATGAAATTTCCTTTTGTTTTGGGTTGTGATGAGATTCACAAATCTTGAAGAGATTGCAACATAATTTATACTTTTGTTTCTAGTGGAATTTTGCTAACTGCTAAGGGATGAAGTGATTTTGTAAAGTGTCACTGAAGTACTCTGGGAAGTAGTTGCTCATTATATTCTAGGACTATGAATGCTCCTTACTAATTCTTAATTGGTTGGATATAGATCCTGTTCTTTTTGTACATATTCATATTATGCAAGAATTAGAGGTGGGCGTTTAACTTAGTCGTTATCATGCCTGTTGTCTGCTTTTCCCTTTTGGAGTGCCTGGTTTCCCTGCCTCTTGCTGCTGAGTCCTGCGTCCAGGTCCTGCTGGCCCCTGGAAGCACCCGTGACTGCGTTAGTTGCTAGGTTATCGTCACCCACGTGGGACACCTACATTGAAGTCCTGGTTCCCGGCTTTGGCTTGACTGTTCGGGGCATTTGAGGAGTGAACCAGCAAGTAAGAGTGCAAATGCCTAGTGTTTCTTCTCTGCCTTCAAAATCTTTAAGAAGACAGTATTACATATTGCATGAATAGAGCGAAATAATGCTTTTAGCTTCACTGTGTTATAGTTACCAAGATTATTTGCACTGAGAAATGATTATATTTTACATTTATTTATAGCCCTTGAAGAACTTTTGTAATATTTGCGCTTTTCTGTTTTGATTCTTCATTCCATGCTCATAGTTCTTCCATGAACTCTCTTCTGACTAAACCATTTTTAGCTTTTTTTCTAGTAATTTATTTTTCCTGGAGACATACTTCCTTTTTTTTTTTTTAAGATTTATTTTTATTATGTTTTTATTGGAAAGGCGGATATACAGAGAGGAGAGACAGAGAGGAAGATCTTCCATCCGATGATTCACTCCCCAAGTGAGTGCAACGGTCGATACTATGCCTATCCGAAGCCAGGAGATCTTCCGGGTCTCCCATGCGGGTGCAGGGTCCCAAAGCTTTGGGCCGTCCTCGACTGCTTTCCCGGGCCACAGGCAGGGAGCTGGAAGGGAAGCGGGGCTGCCGGGATTAGAACCGGTGCCCATATGGGATCCCGGGTGTGCAAGGCGAGGACTTAACCACTTGCGCCACCGCACCAGGCCCATCCTTTTTTTTTTTTAAAGATTTATTTATTTTCATTGAAGAGACATTTTTTCAGAGAGAAGGGGACACTGAGAAAGATCTTCCATCTGCTGGTGTGTTACTGAAGGCAGCTACAGCAGCTGGAACTGAGCTGATCTGAAGCTAGGAGCAAGGAACTTCTGGGTCTCCTATGTGGGTGCAGGGTCCCAAGGACTTGAGTTGTCTTCTGTTGTTATCCCAAGCCACAAGTGGAGAGTTGGAAGGGAAGTGGATTATCTTTGGCCACCAGTCAGCGCCCATTTGGGATGCCAGCCCTGCTAGAGTGTGGGTTAGCCTGTTAAACTATCATGCGGAGACGGGGGAATCTCTACCTTTATCTTTTTATTGTTTATTTTTTAACAGCTTTATTTTTATTGGAAAGTCAGGTTTATGCAAAGGAGGAGAGACAGAAACATCATCTGTCCTCCAGTTCTATCCCTAGCTGGTCAGAGGGGCTGGAGCTGAAGCAAATCTGAAGCCAGGAGCTTCCTCGTGGTCTTTCACATGGGGCAGGGTCCCGCGGCTTTGGGCAATTTTTTTGCTGATTTCCCAGGCCATGAACAGGGAGCTGGATGGGAAGTGGAGCACTTGGGACATGAACTAGCACTCATTATTTTTACTGGAAAGACATTTACTGAGAAAAATAGGTAAGAATCTCCCATGCACTGCTTCACTCCCCGGATGGCTGTAGTGGCCTGAGCTGAGCTGGTCTGAAACCAGGTATTTTGTGCCTCCTCTAGGTCTCCAACATGAGTTCAGAGTTCAGAAGACTTGGGCCAGGCTCCACTGCCTTCTCAGGTCATAAGCAGGGAGCTGAAGGGAAGTAGAGTAGCCAGAACACGAAGCAGAGTCCATGTGAGTTGCTGGCACTTATAGATGGAATCGTTTGAGCCATTTCAGTAGCCCCTATGTAGTTTTGTTTTGTTTTTTAACATTATGAGCGTATTGATATTATCAACATTAAGAGGCAGGACATTATATCCAAATTTTTTTTTTTTTTTTATTTTTATTTTTTTTTAGTTTTAAAGGCAGGCAGAAATGGATTGGGTAAGAGAGGGAAAAATGATAGGAGAGAAAGACAAATCTTCCATCAGCAGGGTCACTTCAGAAATGCCTGGAACTGCCAGAGTTGGACCAGTCTTGAAGTTAAGAGCTGAAGTTAAGAGCTGGAACTCAGCCAGGCTCCAGTACTTTAGCCTCCATTTGGCATTTCTCAAGGTGCACATTAGCAAGAAGCTGAAATTGCAGTCAGAAGCTTGAGCCAGGACAACAACCCATGCACTGCAGTCGGGTGCCGATGATGCTGGCGGCATCTTGACTGCTGCGCCAAATGTCCACCCTGGAAACCACTGCTGGTGTTTACTACCATAGAATACATTTCTTTACTTTTTTTTTTCTGAAGATACTTTCATTGGAAAGGCAGGTCAGGTTTGCAGAAAGATGTTTCATTCTGTTTTGATGTAAGGAATTTCAAAAATCCTAGGACTCAGTCTGTTTTATACCATATCTCAACACTTTGACTTAAACATCTTTTTTTTGCTATTAAAATATTATTTATTTACTTATTTTTTAAAGATTGATTTTATTTTTATTGCAAAGTTAGATATACAGAGAGGAGGGTCTTCCATCTGATGATTTACTCCCCAAGTGACTGCAGTGGCTGGTGCTGTGCCAATCCGAAGGCAGGAGCCAGGAACTCTTCCAGGTTTCCCATGCAGGTGCAGGGTCCCAAGGCTTTAGGCTGTCCCCAACTGCCCTCCCAGGCCAGAAGCAGGAGTTGGATGGGAAGTGGGGGTGCTGGGGCACCCCCAAAATATTTGTTTTTAAAGACAGCGTTTTAAAGAGGTGAGAGGTGTTCTGTTTGGTTTTATGGCCTCAGTGAACAGAGCTGAGCTGATTGGAAGCTGAGAGCCAGGAGCTTAGTCCAAGCGTCCAGTGTGGGTGCAGATACCCAGAGCTTTGGGCCATGCTCTGCTGCTTTGCCAGACCGTAAGCAGAGAGCTGAATTAGAAGTACAGCAGCTGGAATACACCAGCACCCATATGGGTCCTGTGCTTGTTGCTAGAGGATTGGCTTGTACAGAGATGGTCGCTACAAATTTTTAATTATAGTGTTCATAGTAACCTAACTCCGTAGGAAGGGACATCAACGAAAAGATACCTTTGTTTTTCAGGCTATGGTAGATTCTTGTGTTTTAATGCTGTTTGGTTAAACTGTACGTTTTAAATTTGTGGTTGCTGGCTGGCTGTAAACTGTACCTCAGCTGTTTCATTCCCTGTTCCCCTCTCTAGCTTTAAAATTTTTGTTTTGAAAACTTCACTGCAGCATTCCTGGCCAACTAATGTTTTTCTGGACTTTATGACTTGGTAGCTTTCTTTTCAGTGTTTGAATTCCTCAAGCTGTGATTTTCATTCTGATTGTTATGATACCCTGTGGTATCCTGTTATTAAAAGAATGTTGTGAGCCCCCTCCCTCCAAGTAAAGAGTTGCAGTATTATAACACTAGGTGCTCTGTATGTGTGAACAGAATAATACTGTGCTTTGTAGATTATAAAATCAAATTATTGAGTACTAAATATGTGGGAATCAGATAAGTCTTCCTTGTTAAGTGTTTCCTTTCAGGCTGACTCCTTTCTAAGTGCACTTTGTTAGCAGATATTCTCTTTGTATTTTCTTGTCATTTTATTAATCTGATGGAAGTCACAGTAAAAGATTCATTTACTATATTTTTGCATATATTTTTCAATCTGGTTTTTGTTTCTTATAAGTGCCATGGTTTGCTTGTGTTATACATGTAATTTTCTTTAAAGAGAAATTTGGTTATTTTTAGTTAGCCATAATACTTGGCTATAATTTGCTTGGGCCATAATACTGTATATGGCCTGAACTTGTTGAAATACATGTTTTGCTTATGAATGACTTATTTTTATTTGAAAGGCAAATTTACAGAGAGAAGAGGCAGAAAGATTTTCCGTCCACTAGTTTGCTGCTTAAATGGCCATAATGACCATGGTTCTGCCAGTTTGAAGCCAGGAGCCTGGAACTTCCTCTGGGTCTCCCAGGTGGGTACAGCGGCCTAAGGAGTTAGGCTGTCTACAGCAGCTTTCCCATGTATTTTAGCAGGGAACTGGAATGAAAGTGAAGCAACTGGTACTTACACTGGTGTCCATATCGGATTCTGGCGTTGCAGGGAAAGGCTATTTTATTTTATTTTTTTATTTTCATTTTTAGTATTTGCATAGTTGAGGACAGAGCCCTGACCTATTGTTTCATTTTGCCAGCCTTTTAATGATTGCTTTTTTTAAGTTTTTTTTTTTATTGGAAAGTCAGATATACGGAGAGGAGGACAGAGAGGAAGATCTTCCATCTGATGATTCACTCCCCAGGTGATTGCAGTGACCAGAGCTGAGCCGATCCGAAGCCTCTTCTGGGTCTCCCACGCAGGTGTAGGGTCCCAAGGCTTTAGGCCGTCCTCTACTGCCTTCCCAGGCCACAAGCAGGAAGCCGGGTGGGAAGTGGGGCTGCTGGGATTAGAACCAGCACTCATATGGGATCTTGGTGTTTGCAAGAGTAGGACTTTAGCTGCTAGGCTACTGAAGTCGGGCCCTTAATGAATGCTTTTTAAAAAACTGCTTTATATGCTTAAAAGGAAGAGAAACAGGTAGAGAGCCAGAAGAGGGAGAGAGCTCCCCAAGTTCCTGGAATAAACTGGGATGAAGTAGGAGTTTGTAACTTTATCCAGGTTGTACAGATGGGTGCCCAGTTAACTTGATCATTCCTTTGCTACTTTCCAGGGTGTGTGCTAGCAGGACTAGGATCCGGAGCACAAACCTGGGTGCCCTGATATGGAATGTGGCCATACCAACTTGTGCTGCAGCCCTTTAACTCCCTCCCTCTAAAGAGTGATTTTACAGTAACATATCTCCTTCAAAGTCCTCTGTTTTGGATTTAGTTGATTTTTTTCTTAAATAAATTACTTCTCTTTCCACTGATTATTAATAGACATCCCATATGGGTGCAAGTTTGTGTCCCAGCTGCTGCACTTCCAATCCAGCTTCCTGCTAATGGCCTGTGGAAAGCAGAGGATGACTCCCCAGGTGGGAGGCCAGGATTGGACACCTGGCTCCTGGCCACTGCCTGGCCCAGCCTGTGCCTTTGCAGCCATCTGGGGAAGTAAACCAGCAGATGAAAGAGCTCTGTCTCTTACCCCTCTCTTTTCAGATAAACAAATGTTAAATATAAAACCAAAGGAAATTCTCACCATCAAGTTCTTGTGGTTGTACCACGAGACACTGCAGAAAACACTTCCACAGCCTTGATCTTAGCCACAAAGCTGGAAAGGGAGAGAAGATACTTCCAGTTCACTGTTTTTGGGAATTAAATGATATGTAAAATTTTAACCTCACTCCTAAAAATGTTTTTTCTTTCTTTTTTTCTTTTTAAGATTTATTTATTTTATGTCAAAGTCAGATATAAAGAGAGGAGAGGGGAGACAGGAAGATCTTCTGTCTGATGATTCACTCCTCAAGTGACTATAATGGCCGGTGCTGTGACGATCCGAAGCCAGGAGCCAGGAGCTGGGAGCTCTTCTTAGTTTCCCATGTAGGTGCAGGGTCTCTAGGCTTTGGACCGTCCTCGACTGCTTTCCCAAGGCCACAAGCAGGGAGCTGAATGGGAAGTGGAGCTTGGGATTTAGGACAGGTGCTAATGTGGGGTTCCGGCATGCGCAAGGCAAGGACTTTAGCTGCGAAGCCACGGCGCACGGCGTTGGGCTCTTTTTTTTTTTTTTTTTTTTTTTTCTTTTTAGTATTGAAAGAGACAGTTACACACTTAAAATATCAGCAGTAGCTGTGTTTGGAATACCACAAGGTCAGCAGCCAGGAATTCCTTTGGAGTCTCCCAGTGTGTGTGTTAATCAGAAGCTGGACTAGAGAGTAGATTCATTTTTTTTTTTAAGATTTATTTATTTTTATTGCAAAGTCAGATATACAGAGAGGAGAGGAGAGACAGGAAGATCCTCCATCCGATGACCCACTCCCCAAGTGTCCACAATGGCCGGTGCTGCACCGATCCACCACGCCGGCCCTGGAGAGTAGATTCTGTGTTGGGACGCAGGCACTGGGACAGGGGGTGTGGGTACCCAGAGTTTAGCTGTTGTACCAATTGTTTGCACTTTTTTGGTGCTTTTAAATGTTTGTCTTTGGGAAATCATTACACTGTGAACATTATCTCCTGTGGAATGGGAGAGGGCATAACCAACTTTGCAATAGCTATATAATTATGTCTGGATTTTAGTGAATGCTGTTTGTAATCGGTAAACATCAGTTCTCCCTGAGTCTTCCGAGTGGATGACCTGGAAGAAGCTCCTTGGCTCCTGACTTCGGATCAGCTCAGCATTGGCTGTTGCAGCCACTTGGCCTCCTTCTCACTGTAAATATTCAGGGAACTGAATTGGAAGTGGAATGCCCAGGACATGAGCTGGTGCCAATATGGGATCCTGGTGCACGCGAGGTGAGGATTAAGCCATTAAGCCATCATGCCAGATTCAGAATCATTTATTTCAAAATTTTTCATAAGAAAACATTTATTTTAATATCGTTTTCCGCAAAATTTAAAAAATATGGTTATATATGTACATAATGATCACAATCCATTTGAGATCATTCCGTCATCTGTAAAAGAAATTTCATACTTTAATCGGTCTCATGTTATTTTCCAATCCACTTTAGTCATAAGCAGCATTAAGTCTACTTTGTGTTCCTATAAATGTCCCTATGCTGGACATTTCAGAATCATTTTAAACTAGTCCTCCAGAAAACTCTGCTTGAATTTTGAGGACTATCTTTGTAAGTGTGGTTTTAAACATATTGATTGGTTAAGATCATTAAAAATTTAAATTGAGCTGTCTTTTTATTTTCCTGCTAGTAGACTAGTGACTTTAAAGTGTGGGTACTGGGCATGGGGCTATGGCCTAGTAGCTGAAGCCCTCACCTTGAATGTGCTGGGATCCCATATGGGCGCTGGTTCTAATCCTGGCTGCTCCACTTCCCATCCAGCTCCCTTGTTGTGGCCTGGGAAAGCAGTCAAGGACGGCCTAATGCCTTGGGACCCTGCACCTGCCAGGTGTTGAACCCAAAATTCAGCCATCTTAATCAGCCTATATAGTACTAACTAAATACACACTCCTCTGTGAATTTTTGAAGTAGCCTTGTTTACATACTAAACATAAATATGTCTCATAAAAATATGCTTTTGTATAAAAATAGAGATCATAAGAGTATATATGTACATTGAAGTGTAATCTTCACTGGATATCTGAAGCTGGTTTTTATGTTCCTGAAAAGAAACTTCAGTTGTTGTTACCTGTGAAGACTAACGGAATGGAAAAATAAGATAGATAAACACATGGGTGGAAATGGAAATTCTCACTAAATGTAACTGTATAATTTGATCAGTACATGTTGTGTAAATGTCTTCAAATATACTGCATTCCAAAAATATGTGCAGTTGTTGCAAGTTAACCAAAAATGTATAAATCCCTTTTGGAAAATAAAAGAATAAATATATAAATAATTTCCTGGCCCCTGGCTTCAGATTGGTGCAGCACTGGGCGTTGTGGTCACTTGAGGAGTGAATAATCAGACAGAAGATCTTCCTCTCTGTCTCTGCTTCTCTCTCTATATATCTGACTTTGCAATAAAAATAAATCTTTTAAAAAATGTGGATACTAGCTTTGTGAGTGGCAGTATTGTAGCCAATGAGGTTTATCAGAGGCGCGATTATTGCTAATTGAACTTTTCCCAATACCCCGCCATGATGACTTGAAATATAGTCAGCATTGGTTAAAAAAAAAAAAAGTGGTTACTTCTTCTCTAAAGGGAAGCTTTTGTTTCTAGCTGAGTGGATGAAATCTCAGAATATTCTTGGAAACTGGTGTTTGTTTTCCTTGGTGTACTCCTGTTACCTCCCGGCTTGGCCTGCTGCCCTGCTTCTCTCAGATGGTCTCTGAGTGAAGTCCCAAGGTGCTCACAGGTGTAATCTTTTTAGTATGGTAACTAAATTAGCATGTCACTTTCCTTGGCTTTTTTTTTATTAGTAATTATCCTACCAATTATGTATTGTTTTTCTCTTACTAGAATATTTTTTTAAAAGATTTATGTATTCTTATTACAAAGTCAGATATACAGAGAGGAGGAGAGAGAGAGAGGAAGATCTTCCGTCCGATGATTCACTCCCCATGTGAGCGCAATGTCTGGTGTCAATCTGAAGCCAGGAGCCAGGAACCTCCTCCAGGTCTCCCACACAGGTGCAGGGTCCCAAGGCATTGGGCTGTCCTCAACTGCTTTCCCAGGCCACAAGCAGGGAGCAGGATCCTGTATGGGATCCTGACACGTTCAGGTCGAGGACTTTAGCTGCTAGGCCATGGCCCCGGGCCCTCTTACGAGAATATAAATTAATGAAGGTTGGAAGTTTGTTCTGTTCACTGTTTTTTTCCTGAGGACTTACGGGTATGTATATTATGCTTTTGAATGCTGTGATACGTTTTAGGATATAACCTAGGCCAGCTTGATTAGTACATTAAATGTTGCTATGCAGGAGAACAAAGATTTGTTTTATCTTCTATGTGTTTTCTGAGTAATAGTTCCCAACTTTTTCCTTGTAATTGAATTCATTTGTAATTTTCTCACATATGGAATTTTGAAGGATTGTCACTGAATTTTTGATCATTATTGATGTAATTAGTTTTTCTATATTACTTTCTAGTGATAAGTAAAGAAATGTAGGTATAACTAGTGATCATAGTATAAATATAGCTGACTCAGTATTGGTGAACTCTTGTATTGCTAAGGCTTGTAACTGTGAAGTATGTATTCAGCACTGTTGCAGTAATTTATGCACGTGTGTGGAGGGGTGCATTTGGAGTGACTTGACACACATATTTCCAGCTGATTTTGAAGAAAATGTTACTCTTGTTTTAGCTCAGATTCATATCCACTATAAATATAAAATTGCAGAATTTTCATGTTAAAATGATTATTTTAATATTTAATATTATAAAAATCAGACATCATAATTTCTAGTAAGCATTTAAAAATGCTGTGTACGGTTAGGCAACTATGACAGGTGCTTTCGTGATGAAAATAAGTTGATTAAAGGACAGTTTCATTTCATAAAAGTTGAAGGTAGGAACATTTAGGGCAGGTCCCACAGACCTTGCTGAGCTGCGTTTTATTTACAGTTATCCTGTGAGGATGGATGGTATGCAGAGCTGAAGCTTAATTAGTTTGTCATGAAATGAATCAGTTTTGTTAGTTCAGGAATCATTTTCAAAATAGTTTTGCTCCTGGATTTAACAAGGTAGTTTTGGCTTAAGCATGGAATACAGGGGATGCTCAAACATTTCGTGGAAAATGAATATTAAGAAGAAAGAATGTATGGATTTCAAGTTTTTACGTGGTAATTTTATAGAGGGCCAAAGAATGACACATCTGCTTGTTGGGAGTGTTCTGCAGAGCCAGGACGGCTTCATCAGGGATTGCTTTTCCACTCTGTGATGCTCCTGCTCCGTCCGCTCATCAGGCAGAGTGCACTTCACAAAACTTCTTGGCTAGTATTACACATCCACTTTATAATCTGATCTGACTCCTCTGATTTCTTTTTGTTCTTAAAAAAAAGCTTTAAAGAGTACTCAGTTTTCTTCACTTAATAATTTTAAAAAGACTGCATGGACATGGCTAAATTTTGATCTATACAAATGAACTAAAATATTGGTACGATTTGCCTGACAGGTGTCTTGACTTACTAAATGAAGGTTGTGTTTCTATCCTAATTACATTTTCCATGAACCTTTAGAATTTTCAATTTATACTGCATTCTCAATGCTTCCTTTTTTTTTTTTTTTTTTAAAGATTTATTTATTTGAAAGAGTTAACAGGGAAAGAGAGAGCTCCCCTAATGTATGACTGTCTTCCCCAGATTGCTGCAGTGGCTAGCACAGAGCCAGCACTGGGCCATGGAGAGGCCCGAAGCCAGGAGCTTTATCTAAGTTTCTCACATGCAGAGCAGGGAGCCAGACACATAGCCATTTTTGGCTGCTTTTCCCAAGTCTTTAGCAGGGAATTGGATTGAAAATGAAGCAGCTGGGACATGAACTGACGCCCATGTGGTACCAGTGGGGGCTTTACCTGCCATACCACAGTGGTTGGTTCCTTCAATCTTTTTTCCAAATTTTTTTAAGGATTTATTTTTTATTTGAAAGAGCAGCAAAGAATGAAGGAGGGAGAGAGAAAGGGATATGCTATCTGTTGGTTTACTCTTTGCTGGCTTTAACTTCCGTGGCTGGGTTAGGTGGAATTCAGGAGCCTGGAACTTCATCCATGTCTCTCATAGGGCCCCAGAACTTGGGCCATTTTCTGTTGCTTTCACAAGTAGACCAGCAGACAGCTGAATAAGAAGCAGGGCAGCTGGGACTGAAGCCTGTGCTTCTTGGTGGGATGCTGCTGTCAACAACGGAGGCTTTTCCCTCTGCCACAATATGAATGTCCTTCATTTCAATTTTTTAAAGAAAGAGGAGAGAGAGAGGTCTTCCATGTGCTGACTTACTAGAACTGAGGCTGATCCAAAGCCAGGAGCTTTTTCTGGGTTTCTCATGTGGGTACAGGATTCCAAGGACTTGGGCCATTGTCTGCTGCTTTTCCAGGCCATTAGCACAGGGTGTCTGCCTTGGAAGTGGAGCAGCTGCAACAAGAGCCTGTGCTTTACAGGTTTGGAGGATTAACCTGATAATACCGTCTTGTCAACCCAAGGCCCCTCATCCAATTAAGGAGGCATTTTTCTTAGGAAATTGAAAAGTATTTGTCTAGCTTCAGGCAGAGTGAAATCGAAGTGCTTAAGTGGTTCCTTTTTAGTGCCCTCTGTTGGTTTGTTGCTGGACCATTGACTTTAGTCATAATGTTTTGCTACCCTTAAAGTTGATCAAACTCAAATCAGGATAAAGGTAATTCTGGAAGAAGCAATTCTGGTTTTGATTTGAAAAGTCTTTTGTTTGATTATATTATGTGAATATTAACCACTTGGCTTGTTTCTCTTCAGTTTCTTTCCTAGGAGGTAAATGCAGTAGGAAATTAGTGCCAGTGTTCTCATGCTGCTTGGTCTGCCTCATGCCTCTTCATAGGTGATGCCATCTTTTCCCTTTCTGTGAACAAGGACAAGGAATGATTTTACCAAAGAATGAATTACAAAGAAGTATAAAATTTTCTTGTTCTCTTTAAAACAATATCATTCAGTACACAAGAAACCTACCACAGAAAACCTAATAGATCTGTCAGAACAACTTCTGTTGATTAGTACTGGTCTTTTCTCACAGATTTTATATATAAGTTGTATGGTTACTATTGATTTTTTCAAATTTTTTTTAACTTTTGGGAAACTTGTATGTTGATTGCTGCTAGGAAGAAGTCTTAGTTTTATCCTTAAAGATTATTTATTTAGGGTTTCAGAGAGAGGGAGAGAGATTGATTGATTTTTTCATCCACTTGTTCATGCCCCAGATGACTAAAGACTAGAGCTAATCAGATAGAAGCCAGGAGCTTCATCCTGTCTACCATGCAGGTGATAGGGTCAACACTTGCACCATCTTCTGCTGTTTTTCTCAAGCCATTAGTAGGGAGCCGGATCAGACATAGAGTAACTGGGATTTGAACCAGTGTCCGTATGGGGTGCCAGTGTCACAGGCACTGGGACCCTGCTACCCACCTAGGAGATCCAACTGGAGTTCACAGTTCCTCGTGTTTGCCTCACTTAATCCTCACCATTGTGGCCATTTGGAGAGAGAGCCAGTGGATAGAAGAATTCTGTTTCCATCTCGGACTTTATTGAAAGGAGATACAGAGAGAATGATCTTTGGTCCTTTAGTTCACTATCCAAGTGGCCATGATGGCAGGAGCTACCCGATCTGAAACCAGGAACCAGGAGCTTCTCCTGGATCTCCTAAATGGGTGCAAGACCCCAAGGCTTTGGACCATCCTCTATTGCTTTTCCAGGTTGCAATCAGGATGAAAAGTGGAGCACCCAAGACATGAACTGGTGCCCATATGGGATCCTGGTGTTTGCAAAGAGAGGCTTTGGTCACCAGGCCATCATGCTGGGCCCATAAATAAATATTTTTTTAAAAAAGGTACAGACAGGGCCCAGCACCGTAACCTAGTGGCCAAAGTCCTCACCTTGCACATGCTGGGATCGCATATGTGCGCCTATTCTAATCCCAGTGGCCCTGTTTCCCATTCAGCTCCCTGCTTGTGGCCTGGGAAGGCCCAAAGCCTTGGGACCCTGCACCTATATGGGAGACACGGAAGAGGCTTCTGGCTCCTGGCTTCTGATCAGTGCAGCTCCAGCGGTTGTGGCCACTTGGGGAGTGATTCAGTGGATGGAAGATCTTCTCTCTGTGTCTCCTCTCTATATATCTGACCTTCCAATAAAAAAAATACAATTATTTGCTATAATGCATAGCATCAGAAAGATAATTAAGATAATTCTTGGCAGTTAGCTAGTTGTTTAATGTTGTGTTGAATATTTAGTGTCTTCCTCCCTCCATCCCTCTATTTTCTTTTCCAATTTCTTTCTACACCATTTCCTTAAATCTGATATTTTAAAGAAGCAAGTTTTGGAGAAGGAGACACAGAGAAAGACCTTCCGTCTAGTGGTTTATTCCCCAAATAGCTGCAATGGCTGGAGTTGAGCCAGTCGGGAGCCAGGAGCTTCTTCTAGGCTTCCCATCTGGGTGCCGGGGCCCAATGACTTGAGCCATCCTCTGCTGTTTTCCCGAGCCACATGCAGGGAGCTGAATCAGAAGTAAAGCAACTGGGACA